ACGGAAACAGGTGACGAAGCCAGGGAGAGAGGCATCCACTTCAGTGCGACCATCACCTAACCCCCCAGGCTGCAGCAACGGGCCGCCCCGCCATGGGGACAAGCCTCGCACTCCGCAGCATCTGGGAGGTGCGGCGGCATCTGTCCTGTTACTCGTGGCAGCAGCATTCATGACCAGCAGTCCTGAGCCCGGTGTGGGTGCCGACTTCCTGGGTGCTTGCTGGGCGCTATCTCCCCTAACCCTAAAGACACCTCAGAGGCAGCACCAGGGTAACCCCGTCTGCAGGGGTGGGAACAGCGGGGGTGGTCAGATCACCTGCCCGTGGCCAGCTGACACAACGCCAGCACCAGGACTCAGGCCCGCGTCTGTCTTAGAGCCATGTCCCCGCCACTGGCTCTGCCCACAGGTCCTGTATTTGCACCAGAGTTCACTCTTCCAAACCGTCTGGGAAACGACATTTTCCTCTCTCCGCTCCCAGTGCAAAGCTACGTTTACTTGTGAGCCTAGAAAGGATCAACCCAAACCCAGCGGTTACTAAGGGAAGGGAAGGGAAGCCAGTGGCAGCCCCAGCTCTCAGCACATCATGTATGTTTCTCCCTGGCTGCAAAGAGGAGAATCCCTTCAATAACAACTTTCCATCTAAAAATAAACTAGTGGCCGGCCCTGCCATTACACCTCCCAGCCATAGGCACCTGCTTTCCACGTTATTCCCGAGGGTGGGAGGTCCACCTCGCTGGTCTGCTAATGGGCCCCACAGAGGCCGGAACGAAGCTCAGTGAACGGGAGACCTGAGCTGTATGGGCCGGAAGCAGCGGGGGTTTCCCAGGAGGGCTGTGAGCAGCTGCATCTGACAATCAACTGCATGCTACTCATTCCACCTTCCTCCACGGTGCGGCCCCCGAGTTGGGGTGGGGGTGCAAGCTTCAGCCCTAGGACCATCACATGATGCTCAGAGGCAGCTGTTGGCAGTGGGCTTTTGGTCCAGTGTTCCTCCTCTTTTTATTTATTAAACATATTTATTTTTATTAACTTCAGAGAGGAAGGAAGAGGGAGAGAGAGATAGAAACATCAATGATGAGAGAGAATCACTGATCAGCTGGGGATGGAGTCCGCAACCCAGGCATGTGTCCCTACCAGGAATCGAACCGTGACCTCCCGGTTTACAGGTCGATGCTCAACCACTGAGCCACAGTGGCTGGGCAAGTGTTCCTCCTCTTGACGCCACCCTCAACCATCCCCCTCCTCTCCTGTCCCTTCACTGTTCTCCCAGTTACAGGCGCCCAGCATGCTTGGCTGTGAGCGCTGACGGCCACGTGACTGGGATTTATCGTGTCGGTTGTGGAAGGCTCCTGGCTATTCCAGACAGGGACTCTGATCTTCCCAGCTGGTGGTTTCCACGAGAGAGGATACTGTCTGAAGCAGTTACACCAGAGGGGAAGTGCACTGTTCACTGCGGCCGACACCTCATTTTGTAAGGGGATTTTACATCTAATTCCTCAGGGTTCTTTAAGGAACATGTAAACCTATGGGCGATGAAGGGAACACATGAGAGAATTAGGTGACCTTTTAGAAAGTGTTTTATAATAACCCAAAGGGATTTTTAGAACACTATGAGAAGGGGAAGAAAGCTGTGTCATGATTAGGAATCTACCGTATTTGCCGGCGTATAAGACGACTGGGCGTATAAGACGACCCCCTAACATTTCCACTCAAAATACAGAGTTTGTTATATACTCGCCGTATAAGACTACCCCCTCTTCTGCACACCTTCCACACACCAAATAAAAGGTAAAACAATATCAGATTTGATTTTAACATTTTAATTTAT